CCAATTCTTCTCAGACTCCAGCTTCTGGCAATTTCCGGCCAGTTAGGAAGGGGTCGTCTCTGAACCTCACTCGAATCCAAGTGCAGCCGGAAGCCACTGGATTCAGGATGGCATGGCTGCTCGGAAAACTACCTCTAAGAAAGGCTGGTTGATTTCGCTGAGGGGGCAAAGCCACACAAAGCCGATTCATTTGACAGACCAAACAACGTTAGTTGATTGAAGGGTTTAACAAAATATAAATAGTAATAGTAAGATTTAAAAAAACAATGTTGCTTTGAAAATGAACAATTCTCTACAAGGTCACAGTTTTACCCTATTCATAACCCTCACATTGTACCCTCTCACTGTAGCTAAGGTCCCCAGCCCGCCGTCAGGCAAGGAACTGCACGGCTCTACAGCATGACTGGGGACTCATGATCGTCACGGCTTTACTCTGTGGACCGGTCTCCAAGCTAGAAGCAATCGCCTCCACCTAATGTCTTCTTTGTCGCTCCATTCCACATGTGCAAGAAGATCTTGCTTGCAAGAGCTGGTCTCGATTCTTGGCGCATCCCTGTCTGTACGGGAAGAGCACGGCAGCAGGACCCCTGCCTGTTGGGCACTGGACCCAAAGATTGGTGAGCATGCAAGCTGTTTCCATGCTCCTGAGCTGGAGAAGGGAGGGAGGCAGATGTATCCACAATCAACCGCCGAAGTCACAACATCGCCATACGATAGCATACAAACACATAGTGACAATGTACGCATACAACGACTTCTCGAAAGATCTCGAAAGGGCGTATCACAGCAATCGGAAACCACATTTCCTGGGATAACTCCGCCGTTGGCTTGCTACTTCATGCTGATTCCCCATAAATCACAAAAGATCCAGATAATTGATCTTTGTCTGTGAGGATGCAACGACATGCTGGTTTCTGGGAAGACTGAGGGCCAAGCGGTAAGATAAGGAGGCTCCTCAGGCAGAATGCAAGGGTCGCAGCTAAGCCGCTGGTGTTCTCTAATAGAATTCTAAATTGTCCGTTAATGCTGAAAAAACTGCAATGAAGAGTGAATGTTGGGACAACCCTGACCACGTTTCCTCGCCCTCATCGAAGTCGTCTGCTGCAGGATGCCGTCGATGTTGATAGGGCTGGCAAGGGTTCTGATCTTGCTTGATCTTAGATGACAGTTATCTTGTGCCCCCGTGTCTGTATGTGCAGCTTACCTGATCGTTTCAGCTTGCTATTCTCCGAACACAGCTTCCGCATGCTTCCGCCTGGATCTCCCGAGCCGCCAAGGGCGTGTCAGGGCGAGCCTCCATCTCGCCTGGGTGCGAACAAAAAGAGGATCACTGCGCCAGAGCGATGTCTTAAAACTGATCTTCCTTTATATAGTAGTAACAAGGTTCGCTACTAGGAACAAGTGCATCGCTACTAGTAACAAGTGCCTTACTAGTAGTAACAAGAAGCTACTAGGAACATATATATACTATATATATTATATTTTTGATATCAAATTATATATATAAGCATGATTTCCAGCTGATCATGGTGGCACCTCCACCACCCAATTGATGAGATAGCAAAAGGTCTACTGTCACAAGTGTGAAGCCTTTTTCTGAAGATAAATCAAGCTCATTGCAGATCACCATTTCAGTTCACTGCATTATCCATTTACAGATTCTGAGATTTGCCAGAGCTCCAATTGTCTAAAGAGACAAATCGTGAGATAGCGTCTCTGTGGGTGTGACATTGCCACGTGATGCCACGTGCAAACTGAATTGGCAGAAGTCGGCCACAAACGTGATGCAAATCTCAAGAAAAAAAAATTCAGGGTGGCACCATTGGGCCACGCTGTGCTTGGCAAGAAAAACAAATCTTGCAAAGAGCTCAGCAAGTGTCTCAGGCCGCACTGGACTCAAGTATGTGATATCTTGGAACATTTGGTTGAAATGCCACTCCCATGTCACAAGGAATTGAGACAAACCTGATAGGAGCAAGGACGCTACTAGTAGCTCCTGGCCTTACTACTAGCAACAAGAAGCTACTAGTAACAAAGGGCACCGCTTCGAACGGAGGGATCGGGCGCGAACCGAACGTAGCTATTGGCCATTTCCAATGGATATGACCGGTCCACTCTCGGTCCACTCTCGGTCCACTCTCCTACTCGTGCTGCGGCACGGGGTCGTAGCCGGTCTTCTCCCGTATCTTTTGCGCCACATTTTGTGGCATGATACCAAACCTGGCGCGCAGAGTTATAGCTGAAGCCCGTAAAAAGGAGATCCTTCCCCGATCTCTATAGTCTGACAGGTTTTTGAAGATCAAAGACAGGAACGTCCAGTTCTTGACCAGCAGTGGCGATTTGAACCACGTGGACATGCTTAGACTGTTGCGCAAAGTTAATTCATTTTGGAAAAGTCTGCACGTGATCCGCCATGCAAACATTGAAACCTTGACTTTGCAGTTCTTCGGCTCATTCCTAGTGACGAGAAAACGATGATCTACAACCAGTACTGATTTCTGCTGGTTTCAATCTCCATCAACAGGCTAGTGCTGTTGGATTGTTTGAGGAGGGCACGAGATGGACTGATCCCAGCGACAGGGTGTTGGTATGTGTTAGTGGCATTCGATATGCCTGCTTTTTGGCCCGCCCACCCACCCCGTCAACTCCTTTCAACGAGGCACTGCATCAACACATGGAGCGTGCCCACCAGGAGCATGGCAGCAGCTGCTGCCAGGTGTACCACAGAGAGCAAGGAGGCGAAACATGCCTTCAACGGATCATCAACTGTTGCTTCACGGGATACTTCACGTGAACGATATATATATATATATATTGCGAGTGCAGGCAAGCTTTCTTCGAGGCCTTCGGTCGCCTTGAGGAATGCATCTAGGGAGTTGCAGGGGGGGTTGGAGCCATCCTGGTGACCCAAGCACCGGTCCGCCAAGATTCAATTCCTTGGGGTGGCTGGGGAGCCTGTTTTTGGACGCCCTCGGTAGGAACAGCTGGGTTGGCTGGGATCGCACACTACAACGAGCAGGTGCTTTCGGCACCTGATTAGTCGGCAGGATAGCGGGAACCAAATGCTCCATGTAAGGTTGGGCTAGCTAGCCTTCGGGTTGAGTTCCTACAAAATCATCCAGTGAGGAAGCATTAGGAAACACCGATGGTGAAGAGAAGGTTGGCACCTGTGGAAGGAAGTATTCGCAGCCCATTTACACCAGCGCGATCAACCAGTTCACCGTTGACCTATCTAAATTGTGCATTTAACAACGGACGCTACTAGTAACAAAGGGCATCGCTACTAGGGGCTCCTGGCCTTACTACTAGGAACAAGGACGCTACTAGGAGCTTTGAGCTTAGACCGAAAATCCTTGAAGAGAACTCCAGAATTGCACGGCAGCCCCGCCCCAGCAGCCCCTAACCGGCCCTAACCCACCTGTATACCTAAAGGATACCAAAAAAACAAAACCGTCGTGAGGAGCGGCTTCTCGTCAAACCCAAAAAGGTTTGCGCCCAGATGCCCAAATCGCACCCTGGAAGATGTAGAAAAGACCACGGCCTGGTACGGATCCGGAAGATGAAAACCTTTCCTTTTGAGGGTTGATTAGAATGCAATGCAAGGTGTTTGCTGTATCGAATCAAGACCATCCAAAAGCTCTTGCGCAAAAAGCCGTCTCTTGCCTCCAGCGCGAGTCATGAAGCGTGCCTCGTCCATGATCAAATCCTGCAGGGCCACATAAGCGCAGAAAGCTGGCATCGAGCTTCTTGGAGACCAACCCAGTGGCTCCTGATAGTGAGTGACCCCTGGCACCATGGCCACCCAATCCGCTGGCATCTCAAAGAGCATCGTCCTGACGGCGAAAATGCCCTGGAAGCCACTCAGGATCTTAGCAGAGGTCACAGGTCAGGGTTGAGCAGCTTCCAATGGATTCCCAAGTCTAAAACTCTTTCAAGCAGCTCGAGACTCTGTAGTTCTCTCATGTTCTTACATCTGGGTAATTGACAATGAAGCGTACAGTAAGTTCTGCAAGGTTACGTGTCGCAGGTCTCTGTGCCCATCCAAAGGACTTTACAGTCACAGTGCTTGGCCAGGGGCATATCTTGAAGGGCCCATTAAAACACCTCAGCGATGGCAACGCACCACAGCCCAGCGAGATGCCGGTTCTCTCTCTGGGTACTTAAAGGGCTAGGTGGGTGACTGGATTCTCCCCCCAGGTTTGAGTCAGTGAGCCATTTCCGCAATCCTTTTCTTCCTGGGAACTGATGACCCCATGTGAGCCAGTGAACCCAAGATCGTGATCAGTGATCATTGTCTCAGTCTGATTGACGCCCCAAACATCGCATGAAAGAACATCAGCCACAGCCAAAGTGCTTTCCACGTGGAGCATCTCCAGCACACAGCACGCCAATGAGGTGCCACCAGCGCAAAAAGCCAAGACCCGCAGCCCCGCAGGGCCCTGGGCAATCTGATCCTTGCTCCGTTGTGCTCAAGCAAGAGATGCAGCAGTTGAGCGTTGAAGGCCGATCCGATGATCAAACATCTGAACGAACTCCAACCAGGTTTCCACAAAAAATGCTTAAAATGGTGGTCGAATTCAAATATCTTGACCCACAGCTGCCACAGCCATGTCTGACTACGAAACACAAAACCTGGTAATCGCCTTGAGACAGAGCCTGAACCGAGTTTTTCCCCAAGCGGTGTGGAAACATTAGGGGTTCCTACGGTAGGTGGTAAGCACCGGTGTCTAATCGAGGTGCCGCGCATCCGTGTCCGGCTAATTTGCTGCTATTTACAGTACGTTCATGCCTCTCAAAGTCCTCGAAGTGCATTTCGAATGCGCAGGCTCGCAAAATCTGCTTGGCCGCGGCGGGTGCTTGTCGCGACTGCGCACTCGGTCACTTTTCGTGGCAGGCGCAAGGGAAACCTTGCGCTTTGGTGGTGCAAAGTCGACTTTTCGTGACAGGTGACAGGGATCGGAGTGGTTTTACTTCGAAGTGCAGATTTCGTGCACTTTGGACATGGTGGTGATCTGCAAGGCGCTCTGATTTCGTGACAGGCGCCGTGAATTGTGACTTTTGGACACGTGGCTCATTTGCAGGTTTCGTGGCAGGCGCAGCACTTTGTGAACCTCGAAGTGCAGAGATTGTGGCAGACACACCGCTTGGTGAACCTCGAGGTGCAGATTTCGTGGCAGGCACTGCACCTTGTGAACCTCGATGTGCAGATTTCGTGGCAGGCGCAGCTAAACTGCTTTCAGATGCTCACTCTCACTCTCAGTCTCTCTCACTCTCACTCTCGCTCTCACACACTCACACTCACACACGGTCACGCTCACACTCACACTCTCCCTCACACTACTCTGACTCTCACACCCACACTCTCATTCACACTCACTCTCACTCACTCTCACTCTCACTCACTCTCATTCCCCCTGACTCACTGACTCACTCTCTCACTCTCTCACTCTCCCACTCTCACTCTCACTCACACTCACACTCACAGTCACTCACTCACTCCACTCACTCTCTCACTCTCACTGTCATTCTCACTCTCACTGTCATTCTCACTCTCACTCACTCTCACTCTCACTCTCACTCACACTCACTCTCACTCACACTCACACTCAATGCGTCTAGATCTCTAGACTTTCTGCTACTACACCTCTAGACCTCACACACACTGCGTGGGGTCTCTTGCCGGGATAATGTTTCAGGGAAGTCCATGCGGGTTGCAGAAACTTCCTGAGTCTTTTTGCTTCAGAAGCTTACAGGGGAGGCTGCCTGGGGCCTTCTCAAGAGCAACTCATGCTAGGATTTGGAAAGGGAAACCCCACAGCAACGTTTTGAAAGCTCAACACTGGGTGGGAAAGACCTCTACACTTCTTTGACCTTCTATAGACACTGAGTCTGAGTCCAGTGTTTCAACGCTGGGTGTCAAAGCATCTATATACTGTAGACATATGCAAACAACTTGAAGTCACGTCTGTTATCTGTGTCTGTGGTCGCTTGTTTTGTCCAGGCACAGCAAACATCTGTCCAGCTCTTGAAATCACCTGGCGTGCAAACCAATACCCACACCGTCTGCGCTACCCTTCACACCCTTCACACAGTGCACCAAAAGCACCACGCCATGGTACTAAGGTGTCATCATGTCATGAAAATTGGGGCAACTCCACAAATGCCTGTCCACAAGTGTATGCACGTGATGCATGTACAAACTAAAACCAAATCTGAAACTAAAAAGAGACTCAGGACCTCTTTCAGGACATCTCTGGAGAGACAGCGAAAGAGGAACCACTTCGGTCAACCCCGGCAGTCCCGGCCTGGCCCGCAGCCTTGGCGGCCTCGCTCGCATAGTGCTTGGCACGTTTCTGCACCTCTGGGTCCGTAGCCCAAGTGCTGACCTGGGTCGGTCACGTCCCGCAGAGAACCTGAAGTTCCTCTCACGAAGCCATCTAAAAAGTCTAGCAAAATTCTAAAAAGACAACATCAGAAGAATTGAAGAATAGGAATCGAACCACCGGACCTGAGACAATCTCTGAGAAAATCCTTTCAATTTACCATATCATCCATATACCGACATCATCCGTCATCCATACACTGCTTTGATCGAGCTCCAGCCTGGTCTCTCACTAAAGCGGCCAACTCTGGCCCATGCTCCTGGGCGTAAGGAGAAGCCCACCTTTGAAGTCTTCATGTGTTTCTTGTTTTTTTTCCTAATATAAACAGGCTACTGGGCGACCAAACGGCCATCAACGGCCCAAAAAAAATTCCCCGGGTGCAAGAAAAATGGTTTCTAACATAAGAAAGTACGTGAAGTCCAAGACCTTCCAAAAGGGAGATGTATATAAGCCTTATAATATCCTTATATAAGGCCTTTTCAAAAGGAATTCTTCTTGATGCAACACATCACGAGCAGGAGGGTTCCCGGTGATGGGTTCATCCCCAGGCCGCCAGGCCTGGGCAGCTTGGACCAGAGCGCTTTGCACTTGTGGATCATTCAGGGCCTGGTCCCGTGGACTTTTCAGTCAACTTTTTTCAGTTTCGAACACATGGCACACGACTGGACCATCTTGGACTCTGCTGCCCTCCGATCATCGGTTGTAGAACCGGTTGTCGAACACAGCAACCGGAAGTGTCTTACGCCCGCTGTGTCGTACGCCCGGCCTTCTCACCAGCATTGCGGAGGGAGGCTTGAACCTGCAATCTGCTTGAACTCAATGTGACTAGAGTCGCGCTGTCGCCTCCAATGAGTGGCTACGCTGCTGTTATTGTTCACAGTTGTGACGTGTCGACTTGCACCTACATGGCCAGATCGGGCAGTGGTATGTAGGTCCATCTTTGAGGTACAAGCATACAATATCAAAATATGGAGAGGTCCCACCTGCGGATGTCGAAAAAGCTCATCCTGGATGGTGGCCATGGCACCAAGTTCCGATTTTGGAGGATCAGCCTCGAACGGATTAGACTTAGGGCCTCTGTTGCCAGATCATTTGGTGATTATCAGCGACTTCAGAGTTGGTCTTGGTCTTGCGCATCCTGTGCAATGTTGCTGAACCATCATCGGTCGAATCTCCTGCATCCATGTCGTCTGAACTAAATGACAGGTTGCATTGCTTCTGGAAATCGGAGTTCCCAGCTGTTGTTCCATTTGCTGGAGCTTCGTCTCGTCTTTTTCTCGAACCTTCACCTTGCAGGGTTGGTTTAAGATCAGCCGTGCTTGGACCAAAAGATCCACCAAGAAAATGCCTGATCGATCAACGCCGGGTTAGGGCGGCCAAGCAAGCGCCGAAAGGAATCGAACGGAGATCGATCAACGTCCCCAAAGAGATCGATGTTTCACGGATGTCAACCGTTGACCGAACCACACTGGTTCGACCACTGAACCGTTGGTTTCCTCGACCACTACTGGAACAACTCCTTGATCACAAGCAGATCAGCCATGACAAGCCAGATGTGCTGGGCCCCCCCGGCCCTTGGGAGGCGGCCGACCGGTGAGTGCAGCTCGCTTGGCGGCCTGGCGAAGGTGCACGGGGCACTACAACTAACATGGAAGTGGACTTCACCTCCTATTTGGAAAGGAAAGTCGTCTTGCCAAAGGCCATGCCATCACACCATGTGGGTGAGAAACTGCGTGGAATTCCTGGGCCTTGTCTCTCCTTGTCTTTTGTTGGACGAGACGAGCATGCCCGGACGAGCACAATGCGCACAAGACCGCCCGCCTCCATGTCTTCCTTTCGACCGCGATCCCGCATGGAGCAGCACTGCCGGCCACCCGACTGGGCGATGCGCATCACAAAGCCATGCCGGCCATGTACCGTTCGTGTCAAAGAGCTGCTTGGCCATGCCGAAGAACCACCCTTTTGCTCTCAGGGTCTGGTGTTTAAAAAAGGTGCCCAAATGCAATGCTTGACCATGGACCATGGCCATCAGAAACCATGCTGAAGGATCGGGTTTGCAGCCTTTGACGTTCGACGTTTGCGATGGAAGTCAGGAACTGAGCCGCCAGCGACGATGCTCCACATTGAAGAGACCACATAACCAAAGGTCTGGCGTGTGACTGTCTGAAAGCGTGTGACTGTCTGTCTCCAGCCCATTTCTGACTGTACCTGGACCTCGAAAGGGTTAGGTGCGGCCGTGCCCTTCTTCCAACCTCACAACCCAAACATTGAAGCAACATAATCGTCGAATCGTCCAACAATTCCTAACAATCACATCAACCAAACATCATCGACCCCAACAACCGCAAAATTCCAACCCCAACCCCAACAGTTTACTTTGCCCATCCAGCTCGTTTCGCAAGAATCCGCCGACCCCACTCGTAGGGTCAGGCGTGACTGTTGATTAAGGCTAAGGCTATGATTAAGGCTAAGGCTACTAAGGCTATGATTAAGGCTAAGGCTACGATTAAGGCTAAGGCTATGATTGAGGCTAAGGCTATGATTAAGGCTATACCCCCTACCCCTCCGGAGCCTTGGATTTGTCCAAGATTTCTCCATCCCAAATATTTACATCTTGGAGCACCCTCTCCACCCGCGCGGGAAAATAATCCCTAAATGGTCCCGGGCTCGAATTCCGGGCTGGTCGCGGCCTGGTCCCTGCCAGTGCCCTTGGTTTTTCCTAGACTTTGTAACGTTTTCCGCTGGATTTCTAGGATTTCAAAGGTTTTTTAAGATTTACTTTTTCGAAGGTTTTTCCAGGATTTTCTCTCGCTTTTCTAGGTAGTTCTGTGGTTGTCTAGGGGCTCCGTGTTGTTTTTTGGGTTCCCAGATTTTCAAAGAAAAATGCTAACCCATTTGCCGTGCTCTCTTCTGCCTACTTTGGTGATGCAGTGACAGATCATGTCTCTAGGGGTTCCGTGTTGTTTTTAGGGTTCCCCATTTGGCTGCCTGTGGTCTGGCCCCTGGGGGTCGGCAGCTGCAGGCGCTAGCCTGGTAAATCCGGGCGCCGGCCACGAAGCCCGTGCCCTGCCCGGAGGGCCTTCGGTGGTAACCGAAGGTTATAGACGGGCGCGCCCCCTGCCGCCGACCCACCGCCGACCCTCGTCATCAAAACGGGGGGACGACCGGTCAACTGAAGCCCCTGTAATTTACAGTGTATCGTGTGTGTGAGGTATAAAAAACACTGTGTTTTACAGGGTTTCGGGCCCCTCGGCAGCCGAGAATTTCATCTGGGCGGTGTCAAAAACCTAGGTTTTTTCATGGTTTTTGCTTTGCGGGAAGGAAAAAATCGTAAAAAGTTGTATCGGAAGATTTTTTCAACATAAATCGCCTAACATATCCCCAACATAGGCCCAAGATAGCCAATATATCCCCAACATATGCCCAACATAGCCTCCAAGATGGCTCAACATAGGGCCAACATAGGCCAACTTGGGGCCA